GTCCGGGTTCGAATCCGACCTGCAGCCCTTTGCTGCGTGTCATCCCCTCTCTCTCTGCCCCCCTTTCCTGTCGATCTTCAGCTGTCTCTATCTAATAAAGGCATGAAAAGGCCCCCCAAAAAAGTTTTTAAAAAAAATATAGGCTATATAAAACTAACAAAATTTAGCATGTTAAAAAAACGCTTTTGTAATTTAAACAAGTGAGATTAACTCTAATTGTGTAATTTTTATTTTGACTGTGAAAACAAAATACCTCGTAAAGAGTTATTAATTCAGGAAAGTTTCTGTAACTTACAAAACTAAGGTAGTGCCACTTAAAATTACTATTTAAATTGGCTTAATCAAGAGTCTTTTTCAACCTAAAAATCTGAGTTTGTGTTACTTAAAGATTTTGATGTAATCAGTTTCAACAATGTTTTGAATTAAATGAATCTGGTTTTACAGTGTAGCATAAAGGGACTACAGCTAGCTTTGTGTTATACAACCACTGTGGAAACCACTGTCCATTTACCATTTACCATATATCAGAATATGAATCAGAACTTGATCATTTATCAGTTGCTGGTATCCATAGATGTTCACATTATAAAAGTTGTTACAGTTTTGTGGTATATGGCCAAATATATAGGTGCAACAACTTCTGCAATTATCAACATTAATGTGACTACACTAAACTTCACATACCTACAGGCCTGTGATCACTGCAGCACACAAGCTGAGCAACAGAAAAAGCTGTAAACTGTTAACTTTATTGTAGTATTGTTCATATATGGAGAATTAAAAACTCACATTGTTGACATCTGTAGTCACACAGTTTGCAGTTGTACATGAATTTGTATAAAGAATAATTTATGGGAAGGTTCACAATCTTACAGTATCAGCAGGATCAATGGGCACTGAAACAGGTTTGCTTTTAATATATAGACAAACACAGTGTAAGGATGTTAGACTAATAATAAAGAATCTCTGTGCTAATAATAAGCAGCTTGCATTCATGTGGTGCTTCTATATTTAAGCAAAGCAGCTATTTCCACCAATCACAATCAGACACCACATTTGCTAAAGCACTAAGCAGTACATATGTAGGGAGATGAACATCCAGCAGTAAATAAAATTGAACACATACAATAGCTTCCAAACAAAGACCAATAACCATGGCATCTGGGTGCTTATAGGCTGTAGATAGATGTCTGTCGGTTTGTAGTTGTCACCCTCCTGCTTTCATTTAAATAAAAGTAATTAGTTACTAAGTAAGGTAACTTCTTACATTCAGCTTTAATTCTCTTATTCATGCACACAGCTGTCAGCTACATATTTTATTTCAGTGTTGCAATAGGCCAAGCCAATATATCTGTATCTGTCGACCACCAGAGAGCAGCAAACAGTAGCGTTCCTACCTGAAAGTTATACTTATTATCTTGGCTAATAGACAGGATTCAGTAGAAGAAGAACCACACGGATATAAATGGTAACAAAGCTTAATAAATAATTACTAATGAACAAATCGAACTGTATTTGGCCAACGTAAGGTCAGTGACATTGGGTCATAAACCAGAAATCAAAGGGATACACACAGACAAGCTGTGTTTGTCTTCCCTTTGCAGGAAAGAGGAAAACAGTCAAACTCCACAATCAGTACTACATAGTTCACAGTCTTTTATAATGTTTTCAACAACTATTTTTGTCTAATGTGTGAGAAATCACTGAATTTGCTTTACACAGACTTTAATGAGTGCAGCATAAATCACTATAACCCTGTTTCACATCACAAACTATCATTCAGAGTGAAGATAATTAAATGAGATGCATAACACAGTACATGTTTCTCAACCAAATCTCAGTCAAACGGTTGCTGTTACTCCACTCTTATCTTCAGCACTCCTGGTCAGTGTGTTTGTGTTCTTCCCCCTGCAGAACCCTCTGAGCTTCTCTCTCAGGTTTTTGTTGGAGCAGGTGAGGAGGCACGCAGAAGCGACGCAATAAAACGACAAGCCTAGGAAGAGCATGTCTGCGCTCAGCCCCGAAGCAAAGATGGCATGGAAATAGTAGAGGGAGATGGTGAGCAGCGTGGTGAAGTAAACCCAGACCAGAGCCACTGTCAGCCTGCAGACGAGCAGGTAGGACTCTGCTGTGTGAGAGCTGCTCTGCTTCTTCTGCATGGACAAGGTGTGTTTGCAGAGGTAGACGACCAGCCTCAGTGAAGTGGAAAGCATGATCATCAAGGGCATCAGGGTGAGGTAGCAGATAAAGATGATCACATAAACTTTTACATCGACCCAGGGGGGGAACAGAGGTTTCCTGATGATGCAAGCAACCTTTTCCGTCATGTTTAGAACAAGAGTTTTGCTTCGGAAATGGATGTAGAAGAAAGGGGAGAACAAGAAGCAGGAGGTCAATAAGGTCACCAGCAGGGCAACATTCAGGATGGTTGAGATGTTCTCCTTGAGTGCTCTGAAGAGAACTGAAGAGAAGCTCAAAACCCTCATGCAATAAAGGACGCTCAGCCAGGCAACAGACCAGAAGCTGACAGAGCTGCTGCTGAGCCACACGAAAAGGACGACACAGAAGAAGAAAGGTAAGTCCGGCCCGCAGAGCACCCCGGCCCAGACTGCGGCCACGAGCACGAAGGTGGAGATCTGCAGCAAGACGTTGCCCAGCGAGATGAAGCAGATAACGGCAGCCACGGTTTTTACACCTCCGGACCTCCATTGCTGCACAAGCATGACCCCGAGGTTAAAGACGTTGGCGAGCACCCCCAGGATCAGCAGGAGGGCCGTGCCGTACAGCTTCAGATCAGCAGGTCCAAACATGGTTGCAGAGGCCGGGCGGAGATAGATCCTGGTGCATTCCTCCCGGCTTTGGAGCAAAATGAAATGCCCAGAGTCCTTACAGAGGAAATGAAAATACCCAGCATGCAAATCTGTTCCCCTCAAGTAACCGGTGAATGTTGCTGCATATGAAAACAGAAATTAGACTGATCACTTAGATCACCTCTCTGCTTTGTTCATTTATATAACAGACCTTGACTATGAACTGAGCAATTACAGATTTTCATCTGTGCATATTTATATTTATACGTCTGTTATTGTTGTCATGTTGATGTTGCTCTTATATCATCCACACAGCAATGTTTGGGTTTTATTTCTCTATTCTGAGGTCAGGTCCTGTACCAGAATTAGCATTTCATTCAGCTGAATTAACATTTTCTTTATGTAGCTGATGTAATACAGAGTAGTTCTCTTATTATTCTTTATTAGGAATAAAGCAGTGTATTTATAAAGCACTTGTTAAAACCAGAGATTAAACAGTGCTACGAGGGAAAAAGAGAAAAACATGTCACACAGACATACACAGTGAGAATAGTAATAATTGTTGTTTGAACAGATGATGGTGGTCAGTTTGTTTTTGAAAAGGGGAGAACTTTCGGAGCAGTCCCTGAAGGCAGCATTCCCTAGCAACAAGCTAGCATTCTAAGCTAGTTTGTTAGATTTTAGTTTGAGCTGTCTCTGAAAAACACCCTGAAAGACGGATTAAAAGAGCAGATAAACAACATAAAGCCAACGAACATAGAGGAAAAAGACAACGTAACATAACTATGGCGGATAACATCGGTTCTGGCGAAAAGGAGAAGTCCTTCTATTTGATCCAAATTAGTTATCTGGATGAGAAGTTGGAGAGGTGAGATTGTCACACTGCAGACCTGCCTTGCATTTGGAGGAATATACATAACGTTAGTTTCTTTAAACAAAGAATGATATAACTTATGTAGTCAGATATGTAATGTTTGTCTTTTAGCTGAACTTAGAAAATAGAATGCATTATTTGCATAGGCTAGGTGTCCCTCCAGATGTTCTCTCCACATAAAATAGACTTTGACATCATTACCACTGCCACCATGTTAAATGTGTTTGAAAGATATTTCATAAGAAAAACATTTGGCTGTAATAATAGAAATATAGAATTAACGTTAGCGGATTGGAACTAAGCTATGATTTTTATTTGAAATACTGTATTTACAAGAACAATCTTTTTGCATACAGTGTAAACTTCCACGTGTTCCTCCTCATCCTGCAGATACCAGCTTAAAAGTGAAGAGCTGGAGAAACAGAACAAGGACCTCACCTCTCGGTACAACGCCCTGCAGAAGGACAAAAAAGACATCACTGAGTCCCTGAAACGCTCCCTGGTTCCAAGAGAAAGGAAGGTGGAGGAGCTGAGCGAGCAGCTGGAGGGCCAACAGCTGGCGGCTGAGCAGGACAGAGAGGCCCTGAAGCTGCAGCACTGCCAGCAGATTCAGGAGCTACAGGAGCGGATCGATGGACTTAACTCAGTGTCCACGATGCAGGGTGAGGCACTGTGGACAAAAGTCTGTCACACAGTATGTAGTTGTTAGGATGAATTCAAATTGTCTGATTTGTGATTTCAGTGTCAGCAATGAAGCTGCTACTTATTATTATTTCATTATTGATTCATCGATTTATTAAGTGTTTGGCATTTGGCACAAATGATCTGCCTGAAGGTAAACGACTGCAGTGCTTGATGGGTCGCCTCATAATATATGAGCACACCTGGTGTGCCAGGAAACACTGTTCCAGGCACTTTGTGTGAAGTATACTGTGGGAAGCATCCCCCTCTCCCCTTGATAACTCTCCTGTCCTCCCCCAGGGGAGCAGAGGGCACAGCTGATGCAACAGCTGTCTGGCCTGGAGTCTTTGGAGGAGCAGGTGGTCAGTCAGAAGGAGGAGCACGAAGCTGCCATCAGCAACCTGAGGATGGCAGCGAAGTTGGAGAGGGAAAAGTGAAGTCTATGACAGAATCGCATTCTTTTTCTTCTCCTGCTGATCTGCTTTTTTGATGTTGGGTTAACTGTTGCTTTAAAATGTTGGTCAGCAAACAGTAAATGTTTACCCGTACCGTCTCTTGTCCTCCAACAACAGCATGATGGAGGAGATGCAGAAGACAGTGGAAGATACTGTTAAGACAAAGACCTTAACCATTCTTCAGAAGGAGAGGGCTCAGCACAGCCGGCGGTTGATGCAGATCCAGTTCCTGCTCAATTATAACACGCTCATCCAGAAGGACACTGATGCCATACGAGCCGGAGAGAGTGATCTTTGCACTAAGAGGGACAATGTGAAGGAAGAATTGAGAAAGACTGGGCTGGAGATATCTACCCACAAGAAGGTAAGAGGACAACTGTCAACAGTTTTGGAAGAGAAGTGGTGTAACTCAGGGGGCACCTGGATTTGAACAGGAGACCACTTGACCTGAACTGCTCTACCACTCAGCTACATCCCCACACTCAGGAAAGTGGCTTCAGTGTTTGTGATCTGCTTTTCAAGTCGAATTTTCAAGCTTCTATGACATGTTTCCAGTGAGACTTGTGTGTGTTGAAGGTCTATGGTCCTATAGAAGTCTATACTCTATAGTCCGATGTAGCTAGCTTGCCAAACATTTTATTTATATGTTCACCATCTGGGACATAGACACCATTTGGACATTGGAAGTATGTCTGTCATTGTCATAAATCAGGCTCATTCTGAGCTCACACTACAGGATCAAAGCCCTGATTTTCCACTCGGTATATTTTGGAGATGGCTTTCAAAAGCCCCCAGATCAAAGGCAAATCTGCGTTCACTGATCAGAGACACAAACCGGGGCATCCGAGCCGATACCTCACAGACTTCTGAAAAATATCAAGCAGGCTAAATATCTGGTCATGTCAGGTAAGGGGGCTCTGAGTGGGTATATTTCTATTTCTTGTAAGTTATTTCTTATTTCACCATTTGAATTACACAGTTTCAGTCCATACTTAATTCTCCACTTTATTTTAGTGTACTACTACTACTACAACAAAATGCAAAACCATTAACTTACTAATACATTGGCCAAATGTATTATATTTCTATGATTCCTAGATTTCTGTTTTTGAAAGGTGCTATTTAAGTGACGGCAATGACTTCAAGATCCCTGATTACAAGACAGCAATCCGACAGTTATGGTGTGACTAAAGAACTAGGGGGCATCTGGACTTGAACCAGAGACCTCTTGATCTGCAGTCAAATGCTCTACCACTGAGCTATACCCCCACCGTTTAACCACAGCAGCACTGTGTCTGTTGACAGCACGTGGTTCTGCTGTTTGTGAGAGAATAGTATGTATAAAAAGTTGCACTTGCGAGACATAGTACTAGTACTCAGAAAGTTTTAAATTTCCATTCATCTATTCATCTGTCTGAGTTTATATGTGACACACAGGTAAAGCCCTGAGACACCACAACCAGTGAGGAAGCCTCAGTGTCTTTCTTCGACAATGTTTCCTCCAAAAATGAGTGACAGGTCTAGTTAGGATCTCTGCGTATATGTAGCTTCAAAGGTCCTTATTCTGTGGAAAATGCATTTTCAAGCTGAGCTGAGGTCTACAGTCTACAGTATAAGCAACAGCAGCCGGTGTGGGTATCAAGTGGGTCTCTTTCAAACATACTGTCTTTTTAGTACAACATTCTTTGCTTTCTAAGATAGACAGAGATACAAATAAAGATTTTTTTTCTAGAAGACCTGTCTATATATGGCACACTGCTGAAGCCTCATATTTTTTACACAGAATGAGGCCTGTGTTTCCATCATTACATCTTACTTGCATTTCTCCCTGTGGACAGTAAGAACGGGAGAAACAATTACAGTGAACAAAACTCTTTCACCGTACATACGGACATGTAAACCTTTCCTTTAAACTTCTCACACACTTGCTGCACCCATCACTGAAATAGAGGTAAAATTAGCCTACAGATTTTCTTTACACAAAGAAGTTTGTCATTGTTCTTTATCATTCTTCTTCATTTGTTTTCTCATCTTTTCCACCACAGTTTATAGTGGGTGGAATTTGTAAGTCTATAAAAATGTTTCTACTATAACTGTAAAGGTATGCGATTTATATTTCAGATTTTCTGTCAAATATTTTGACCTTTAACAACAGATAACTCAATAAAACAACCAAATGGACAAAATGGAAGAGAAAAAGAACAAAATGGAAAGGGATCTTATATCATTAAAGTTTATAGGGATACACCTGCACCTCAGAGAACTTGAAATGATTGAGGCAAAATAAAACTACAAATGTTTCAAACAAAAAGCTGCACCCTTAGTGACTATTTATTCATCTTTTTAAAACTTTCCTTGTGACGTGTATAATAGCTTGTGGCTAATAAATGATAATACTCTGATGGCAAATGTATATCATCATCAGCACCCAGTCAGCTGATATTTGAGAAAACATGTCTCAGTTTGTCTTCCAATCATTCAACATCTTTCCTTGTTCAGGAGATGAAGAAGCAGAAGAGGAAGTGCCAGAAGCTGGAGGTGAAGCTAAACGACCAAAGCATCACCCACAAGCACATGCTGGACAAGGAAATGGAACTCAGGTAAAAGTTGCATCTCTCTCTATTTCTAAGGTGCATTTCAAGAACACTATGATGTTTGATACTAATGATTGTCTGACTTTATTGCCTACCTTCAGTAGACAGACAATGCAAGCTACATTACTGAAGGATTGAAACGTGAATAATTCTGATTGAGGGGGCATACACACTGCCACTGAGCTATACTCCTGAGTGCTCAATCTGTTGTTGTCTGTTTTCTTTTCAGAAAGGCCCTGGTCTCAGTGTCGGAGGAGTGCCGTCAAAAATCAGAAGAAGCCAGTCAGCTGGGGCCCGAGCTACAGGTGGAGAGGAGCAGGAGGAGGAAGCTGGAGGCCGTCATGTCGGAAGCAGTCATCATTCTCAAACACATCATGGAGGTAAAAACACGGTCCTGACCTGTTTTAGTTCCCGCTGCAGCGTCTCATTGCCTGAAATGAAACCTTGCAGACTTTCAGCTCTGCGATCTAATAATATGTGTGAGAGCTGTATTCCAGAGAGAGAAGATGATTGTGGTTTTAATCCAGGACGGTCAGACAGCTCATTTACCTTCTGCTGCTCAGACCACCCAGTGGTGGAGGTATTCAGGTCCTTCACTAAGCATCTTTAGTAAATTCAAAAACAACCCAACTTTGTATGAAAATTGTATGAACGAAAAGAAGAACAGCTTCAGTGTCCAGTCCAATTGATGTATATGTATACTGAGTGAATGAAACCCTGTCAGTCCCAGTGGAGCGATGGTGCCCCGCCCATTGTTTATGTGAGGCTGGCACACCAACCAATTGTTCTTTATCACTGTGGCTCAACATACCAATATCCCTGGTTCTTATGAGCAAAATGAAGAATGACCTGTGGCTGTAACTGATAACTGGAAGTAGTTTTATGCTTGTATAATAATGCAGTAAAATTAACATTATTAGCTATGTAGCGTTATTGTTTGTTACAACTCAGTAACATGAGACAATTGTGGTTATGTGGCTCCGCCCACTAAGTTGCATCCCAACCATCATTTCTGATTATGGGAGCTCTGTCCGCTGCAGGAGGACGCAGAGGAAGGGCCCGACACAGAGTGGAAGACGGAGAGGCTGCTGCATATCCTGGAGAGTACCCCCCCCCAGGGAACAGAGTCCACTGAGAAGACCTGTCAAGGACAAAAACCGCAGAAACCCAAAATCAGCCAGGTACCGGAATCTCCGTCCTCTGGACCAAGTCTGTTAGTTTTATGACTTGTGATGACATTTGTATGAACACTGTTTATAAAAACCTAGAGCACGCTGCGACCTAACTGCTCAGCACCAAATGGAAGACAAAGTTAGCAACAATCTTTGTATAAATTCTGTGGGTCTGTCCGTCCCTCAGGAACCTCTGCAGTAAGAAGACATCCAGCTCTGTCGATATATCTCCTCCTGATGTGATTAAAACAAAGAAAATCTGAAAATGTTCACCAAAAAATGTGCCACCAGAGAAAAGCTCAAGTACAAATGTTGTCTACAGACTTTGCTGTCTATATTACAGTGTGAGCATATAGAAGATTTATACATACTGTATATAACCATGTGAAATCCAAGCAAGTAGCTGCCTTCTTGTAATTTAACAAAAATGTTACTGATGAAAAAAGACAATGACAGCTAGCTAACCTACTGTAGCCTCACACTGGCTAACAACAATAGCATATCACTGACATTCTGAATGTGAGTTTATTACTATAAACCTCCAGGGTGGTGGAAAGTAACTGAAGTACTCAGTGGTACTGTTTGATACAGTGTAGAGACAGCAGCTCCCTCCCTCCCCCATACTGACCTCTCCTGTCCGCCAGTGGAGCCAGTCCTCAGCGTGTTCCCGCCCCCACCTGCATGTCATTACCTCAGTCATCCACGGGCTAGCAAGTTTTTTCAAACTGGGGTCCGGGGACCAACAAGGGCCCTTGAGTAGGTCGAGGAAACTCACAGGTGTATTACCGAGGGCTGCATTCCACTTAGCGGAGGTCTTGTTATTGTGCATGCTGGTTCATGTCATTGTTGCTGGAACTCTTAATGGAACTGAGCCTTCATTACACTTCATCAAGTCCACATGTGTTTTATTGTATAAAATGTCTGCTGTGCAACCAGTTCATATAGAATTTTGAACTTTTATGACATTTTTTGGAAGTTGGAACACATCATGATTTATAGTGATCCCAGTTTGATCATTGATTGACTAGAAAGACTTTATCTTCAAACCTAAAATACCCAGAGTGGATAAGGACAAATTACTCTCAAATTGGGGATCCTTGGTCTCATGTTTATCTTTTGTGGAGGTCCTTGATGTTAAAGTTCGGGAAACTCTGGTCCGTGTGCATCAAATCATCAGAGGTCAGCCTTTGTTCTTTAGCTCATGAAATATGATGCAGCAGCAGGATACAAATGATATAAAGTAGTTATTAAAATTAGTCCCATCTTTACCAGGTGCAACATTAAAGTGAGACATTACACATTAATGCATTATTACCCACTAATGTAGCATAATCCTTCTGAAATCAGCCATTCTGCACAATGAATGACTTCTGTACTTTTGCCTACTTTCAGTCTGCGATTAACATATTGCATTTACAGCTCCAAAAACCATTTCACACTGAATGCTAGAGCACTGAAGCAGGTTAAACACTCAGGTGAAAAAGGTTAAAAAGGTCAATCAATGTGTAAAAATAGCCTACACTACAATGTGTGTAGTGTAAAAGAAATGACACAGCTGTGACACTGCCTGGTATTTTGCTCATCTTTTTATTTCATGATTAATATTCACATCACTGGTTAACAATTAATCACAATAAACATCTCTTTCATACCAAATATTCAGAATTGAAGGGGGAGATGAGCTCTATCTAATAGGACAGATGCCTCTAACAACCAGCAGTTTGTTTGTTGTCTTCTGCATGCTCTTGCTATGGTGTTGTGCCCTACAGAATAATACAGCACACGCTACAGTGGATCCACTCCACAGTACTGAAAAGCAGATTCTTTTTGCCTGTTCCCTCTGTTTGTGAGGACAATTTGGACATGCAGCCTAAAGTTTAGGTATAAGTAGGTATAATCAAAAAACTTGAATCCTATGAACAAAGCCGGCCTAATAAATACAATCAATACATATTTTATTGTCCTAACTCTGTGCTCTCCTTGATAAACAGTTGGAATATTGGTTTTACTGCACTACCGTCTGGTAGTTGCTGTATATGTGGTGGAGGACACAAGAAGAGAAAGCTACTTTTCAGTGCTGTGATGCTGATACGCGTCTGTAGGTGGGAGACACAGCTAGGGGCTCCAGGTGCATATCTACCAACACTCCCTTTTATTCTGGAGTTACCCTTTCTCCCTTTGTTTTCACAATTCAGGCAATTAGCCACCTCTCTTAGAAGGAAAGTCTGAGTTCAAACTTACTGTCTTAAACAACAAACTTAATGTTTGAGCTCAGCGTCTACTGATTTAGCCTATGCTTTTTAATAGTGCAAATTGGTCCAAATTGTTCCGTTATTCTCAGCCTTTGTTACTGACACTGAGAAGATAATTTGGTCCAAAACTTCCCTTAATTCAGTCCGTGTTGGTAGGTATGTCAAGGTGTCTATATAGGAGCTGTCTAATACAGAACATTACTCTCTACCACATGCCAAAAGACTAAGTCTGGTTAGTCTAACGGGGGGGTGGCGGATGGTGGGAGAAAGGGCTGACCAGTGTGTGTCAGGTGTCACAGTAGTGCATTTTAAACCAAAGTGGAAACCGATCGGTTGTTCCTTTCTGTTTGCCAACCAATTCTTAAGTGTGGTATTTGGGTTTCTGCGATTCCGGTTTGCTTCCTGTTGAGTTGGACCATACTAAACACGACACACACTGCCCCCCTTCCTGCCCGTCAATTTGAATCCAGTAAATAGTGTTTCCATGTGTGACCTATCTTCCAAAACAGAACAGAGACAAACCTCATACATGTATTCATAATCTTGCATCTTTAATACATTTTAAAAACATTCTTGAAACTTCAGCAGCCCTTTTCTTGGAGGAAAAAAGGCAGACTCTGAAAAAAGAAAAAGTACACTTTTCCTTCCTTTTGCTTTCAATCTTATAATAATACCATTATTGACCTTAACAGTAACAGGTTTATGAACGTGAAAGCTCATCTGTCAACACCCACGACACCCTGTTAAGAAGTAAGATTTTTTTTTTCTTTTTTTGTTTGATTTTCATTTATTTGAGTTACTTCTGGAGTGATAAAAACATAGTGGAAACTATATACAAGGGACAGCGTGAGCTACTAGTGGAAGGGTGGTATTCAAGCGCTATAACTGGGGAATCAAACATTTGTGGACGGACATCAAAGTGAATCTGGTTATTACCTTTTGTCCAAGCTGCAATGCTGCACGTTAGTTTTATTTCACAAATAACCATACTGGTTACTACTGAGTACTACAGGCATACATCTAGTCTGAAACCTAACCATACCCTCTGTGATTATATCAAATTAAATCAAACTTTAATGGATCAGGTTGCCCATTGATCTTTGGAACCATAATTTAGCTCTACTGGATAGCCCCATGTGTTATTACTTTAGCATACAGCATGGGAAGTATAGTCTGGCAGATAATAGATTTAAAAGAGATTGCAATTGTGTATTCATTTGGCTGATGTTCATTTTTGTAGATAAACACACAACATAAACATTTTTATGTTCCCTTAAATTTGGTTATTAGAGTTTCTAAATGTTTTCAAATGTATCTTTGTTATTTATGACAAATTGATGTAAAGTCACTTACACAGCTACTGATGATTCACCGTCATCTTGCATTGCCCTGGTGGCCTAGTGATTTATCCTATCTGATACATTTTGGTATCGACCAAAATAATCCAGTACTAAACTGTATTGAAACTTCTCCAGACAACTGATACCTGCATTTGATCTGTTCTGTACCTAAATCTAGAAACTATTTGTATAGTTTTGCTCGCAAAGTTATGCAAGATATGACCCTTAACAGGAATTAGTTTCTAGTTTATAGCCTGTAAGTTCATAAATCACCAACAACTTCCCTTTCGAAAACTTGTTAGCTGTCTGGCTAACTGGCTTCCGGTGTATGTGCAATGCAAAGTGCACCGCCTTATATCGGTTTTACAGGTTTGGCTGCTTATCATGAATGAATTAACCGTGCAGCATTGGAACTGCTACAAGTTGTCATTGTTTTAGGATAACAAAAGTAACTTACAATTACTGAACATACTGTATGCTAAAGGAGAGAAATTCATTCATAACAACACGTTCTACCAGTAGTACTTCTGATGCTAATCCTCTGAAATAAGGCTCCTAAAAGTTTAGTATGGTCCTTTAACTGACCATAAACAGAAACGTACCCACTTTGGGAATGTGGCTTTGTAGCTTGGTCAGACAGTAATAACCAGTGAATGTTGACAGGAACAACATGAGGGCAGACTGAAGGGTTGAGTGTTAAACCATCATAGCCAATAGTACAACACTGATGACCAAAGTTCCACTAAAATCCTCTAATCTGACAAACTCTTACACTGAGCTTCCAACACACATTAAGACTACAACTGGCTCCTATTTTATATACACAAACCACTGTCTACAGCTATCAAAGTGCTTTCATCCCTTTGTTCTTCTATTCCCGAAGAAAGATTCACATTATCGTCTTCACATGTGATCCACACATATGTCAGGTATCATGTTTTGCTTTTAGGCAACTCATGGGAATGATTTGGAGGGAACAGTACAATATCAAATATGCGTATATGTTGCTTTTACTTGTCTAGTCTTTATTGTTGACTATTTGATAACTTGCTCTTTGATTATCATAACTTGATCTAACTACCAAGACTGTTTTGCTTCCAAAAGCACACATGTACAGTACACAGTAGACAATGTTTTACCAATATACAGTAAAGCAACTTTTATATCACTTCAGTGCATCAATAACTGAACAAGACTGTGTTCAGAGTGCACAAGACTTTTGAGTTTTAAGGGGAACTGTACATAATTCATATGATTTAGATAATATTTAGTATTCCAGACACAATAATATAGTGTGGCCATCAAAGCTAGTTTAAATGAGAATGGTATGTAACTCTAATGAAGCTTCTGGTGATGCAAGGTTTCTCAGTCAGCCTTTGTTAAGTCTCAGAGCCAGACTATCAGTGTTCCAGAGGCTACGCAGCGCTCTCTACAGGATGGATGCAGTAGTAACACTTCACACATCTGACAACTACGGCAACACCCCACAAACTCGTCACTAATCCTTCATTGTTTCAGCGGAGACCAATTCCTAATGCCCAATGCAATGACTGTGAGTAGACAGGGCCGTCTGCTTTAAGGTGGCTGCTTCTACTCGTTTTACTGCTGCGACTGACACATGACAATGTGTTTGGTCTGTAAATCAACAGCACATCACAGTGTAGTTTTAATCAATTAAAAATGAATTTAGGTTATTTCCTAAAATAATACAAACAGGCTGAAAAAAGTTGCCTTTTTCTTCATACTTGATCATTAAAGACATTTAATAATTGTGGAAAGTGAGCAAGAATAATATCCCCTACAACTTCAGACTTACTTCTCATCAACCGCTGATTCAAAGTATACTAGGACCATTTTAATGTTTCCATCACTTAAAATGTGAATTTCTATTTTACATGTGCAGATTAGTTCACTTGAAAGACAACATCAAGCAGCACTTGCTGGCCCCAACTACAGTATTTCCAGGCCGCTCTCGGTTCTGCGTTGCTGAAATATTGCTGCATTCATGGCATTTTGGAGCTGGGCAGTTCCTGCTGTCCAGTGTAGTAAAATAATATTTTAATCATTTTTTAACCTTTGTTATATTTTGTGCATATCCAGTGATATCCTATACAAAACAAAGAACAAGAAAATGCTGACCAAAATAAGCATTTCAAAAGCTTTTAACTTCCATCTATTTACAATACAGATGTTTAGTAAAATATTTAACAATAGATAACTAGAAACCTGTCACCAAGTCAAGTGGCTTACTAGTAGCTCTTAGTTCAATCTGCTACACAGTCTCTAGTAAATAAATCAGTAAAAAGTTGCAAAGAATTTGCCATCTTCAGACTTGCCATGAATGTAACATTATTCCCTTTAACTGACAGTTCCTCCTGCAAGTAAACTCGTCCCTCTCATAACTCCCTGTTAACCTCTGTGGTTGTTCTCTGTCCATCTCTCTCTTTCTCTCTGTCTGTACGTCAATTGTATGCGCAGGTAACAGGAAGCGTTCCCAACTAAGACCCTGTATTGCTGTCAGAGAGTTGGAGTGAAGAGTGAAACACGGGCAGAGGAAATAGACGAGAAAGAGTGAGGATGAAGTGAGCCTATGATGAAAATGTCCGACAATGACTATGATAGGAACAACAACACAGCTCATCATTGTTTTAACAATATCAGCGTAGACCACCAAAACACAATAAAGAGTTGGTTTCATTCTAGAACAGAGAAATGCTTCTATGAACAGCATACCGTTTTTATTTTAGGGTGCCGATTTGTGTTTGTGTGTACCATACTGTATGTGTGTATATGTGCTGACTTCTGTTTGTGTGTGTGTGTGTGCGCATGCACACCAACAAGCGTGTGTGTGCTTTCCTGTATAAATCTGTGCTTATGTGGAAGTGTGTGAAAAAAGTTAACAGGTCTCACAGAGAGGATTCTAAGACACACCAGCTAGTGGGAGGACTTAAAAGAGGGTGTGGCTCTCTAGCCCCACCCCCTCTCCACTGGGGTGAACCACATGACCAGGAAGTGCCACATGCGCAAGAGAAGGAAGGCGCTGTCTGTCTGTCTGTCTCAGATAGCCTCATGTGAACTGTAAATGCTAGACAGAGCTTAAGGTGACTGCTGGGGTCCCTCACAGGAGAGTCTACAGGCGTATGGGCGGCACTGTGGGTACATGGGAGGTCTGGGATCAAGCGATTAGACAGTGTGGGAAAGAGTTATGGTGCAGGAGGACAGGGTTGCATGTGGTGTGATAGCAATAGTCTTATTGAGGAAATTAAGACTAAAGGGTTTAATGCCCCAAAATTATTATTATGTCATGCGAAGGGTCGGACATATGACTATATGAGCTTATTTAAAGATAAAGGTTAAGGGTTTGTAAGTCACTGAAATAGGTCTGCTGCTTAAGGTGCTTTTTTTGGGTCATTTTTTAATACTTCCATCAACCCAAACTGAATGGGGCTGCAGTGCTGAAACACCCATCTTAGTTTGTAAGCTTGTGCTAAGTCCCATGTGACCAGGACTGATCTAAATCAAAGAGTGAGCTTCAGAATGTGAACAGTAAAATGAAGTAGTGCTATCACACTCAATATCCCCAGAGGTGGGTAACATACTCTACAGACCTGTGTACACCCTAATGTATTCAAGATATTGTGTCATAGGAAGACTAGCGACCACTTTGTGGAAGCTAATGGGCATCCAACTAAAGAATAAAGAGTATTGTAGTGAATTAAGTCCCGGTCACACCAGAATGTGGCATTGTGAAATTCATTCCTCTGTCTTCCTGAAACATGTAGTTGTAGTAGCTTGGGGACATAGGGACTAATCGCAGGGCTAGTTGGTCAGCTAACATACTAGTGCTAGTCAGCCACAACAGTTCTCTGAGGTTCTTCCTACTTACTCTGTACTGTACCGTTAACTTCCTCATGGCATTTTGTTATCAGGACTGCATTTCATTCCCTTATTGAAGAGGGGGAAAACTCTCTGAGCTAGCAAGAATATTAAGCTTGTTGGCACCATTGCTACTGGGAGAATGCATTTACACAGTTAAATCAGAGACGATTTGTACGACTCCTGTCTCATAACTGTCTGCAAACCATTCCTGTTTCGTAGAGCAAAGTATACTCCAACAGAAGTGTGTAAATTAAAGTGGTAGGTGTAACACAGCTAATAAGCCAGCTACAATAGCTTCCTACAATTTGGACTTTCCAGCTCTCTGATCCATCAAAGGACAGCACAGTTAAAATGGCTTGCTACTGGTCAATGGTGGCAAAGTTCACAAACTTGAAACTTTGCTTGTGTGAACGAAACCACAGATTCTAGCAGTTTATTAACACAGTTCTTTGATTCCATCACAATAAACTGATTTTTCCGTAAAATCTCGCCATTTCAAGTGCTGGTGTGACCGGGTCTTTACACCGCAGCCTGTGACACGGTGGTTGACGCTGTCCGCAGTAAGAAAAGTGCTACATATGGTATACTGTGCATTAATGCCTTCATGTTGCTTGACCAAAAGGTTCAGCAGCTAGCAGTTTAACAGTTATCAGAAAAGTTTAAATACTTCTGTTTAAGATCACTCCTTCAGCTTGAATTAATAATCACTCTTTCAAGGTCAGATACTGTGATCTTAACTTAGAAAATACTTGGCTTCAAGATCAAATACCTGTGCTCAGTGCCAGATCCTTTTTGAGCCAAGGCTACCCAAAGAAGCAGCAGAGCTCCATCATCACTGCCTCTCCTAAGGATTATCATGCACTAATCACATCATAAAATATTGTTTCTAATTGTGGTAAAAGTCGTCTGCTTTGTTCTACCCACAAAATTTCCTCGTAAGTACTCTGAATGGATGCATCTTTTCTTGAAACGTACCACAGAAATTGTCTGACGTCCTGAAAGCCTCTGCACTGATTCTGAACTCCATCTTTAGATCTATTTTCATTCTTTAGATCTATTTCCAAACTTCTCCAATTGTATCTCCTCTGCTCCACTGTACATAAGCCCTTGTCCTCTGCACCGATCACTGCTAATTGTGAGCATCATGACAGAAATAGCCCAGAGATAAAGAAGAATTATTGTATGTAATATAGTTTGGGGAGACAAACTGGTGCAATGATACTGAGTGATGTAATAGGAGATATTGTTTGATGGGTGAGCTGCAGAATTACCTATAATTTGACAACGTGCAGTGCTGTAGATACTGTAGATTTGGAAATAATTGCTGGCTGGCTGGGAGGCTGGAATGTGTTGATATAAAGCAGACTTGACCGTATTTGCCCTGCTGTTGGCCGGTAGCAGACCCTCATCATCTGGTTAGGGTGGTCTGGACCTAAGCGGACACGGAATGGGGGTGGAGGTGGGGAAAATAAGGTTGGAACATCAAAAGTGCTTTTGAATGCCTGTGAGAAGGACCATAGATTAGCCTTAGGAACAGAGTTCTGAGGCAGGGTGTTTGTGCTATTGGGGCACGTGTGGGACTCAGTTGTGGAAATATTCTATTAAAAACTGGCTATGCTCAGTATACTTCCATACGGCACTGACTACTGTAGTGGATTTATTGCGCTGGGGTTGTTCAATTTGCATCTTGAGGTTGAAGTCCTCTAAATCAGTGCTTACGAGGGGATTTTATCAGTCGAGAAGCTGGTGGAACCCCGCACAGAGAAACACAGACAAACAGCAAGTGCTCTTCTCTGTGGTAGGCAGGGCCAAACGTCAGCCCGAGGGCGTCAAGAGGTCGAAGGTCAGGGTTGGTAGCAGGAAGCTGGCAGGCGGACCCCAGAGAAACACTGAGAGGTGATCGGTCAGTTCGGTGCTGCGGTGGGCGAGATGAAGGGCGGGGCCAGAGGGAAGTGACTGCGCCGTGGTAGGTTGGTTGGTCGGTCGATTGGCAGGTCGGCGAGCGCCATGCGTGTCCCACCAAAATCTACAGGTCACTGGGACTCAATCTGTGCAGGGGAGAAACTGGATTAAGAGAAGAGAAAGCGACCAACAGAAGGAGAGAAAAGTGATGCTGAGACAGAAGTGGACATTTTGTGGTGGAGTTTGCATTTTACCAGCCAGATGGTCTCTAGCTAATAGGCTGTTGCCGTCTGGGGCAGGTTCATATGAATTATGGGCCTAATTATAAAACATTCCTGCTTTTTATTGTATTAGCACTACAGCCATCCATCAATTAGGCCGAGTTTGGCAACCGCATCAGGTGGCAGGAGTCTGTTCTGTCCCTCTGAACTCAGGGAGAGTGGAGGCCAGCTGCAGTGCCAGAGATGAATGTATCCACTGAGACTGGTTAACTCTGTAGGTCTCTTCATAATCTCATTTAGTAGCAAAGTGTCTGCTATTTTTACCACCCCACTCCATCAGACACGTAGCAGAGAGCAGGTATACACGCACATGCACACACACACATAGTCTCTACTTATTTATTGTCAATTGTCTAAATAATTGACCGTTTGCAAAACTCCCGAACAGCAATTGTCTAAACATAGCTTAGCAACCGTAACTAGGCATGTCAGACCTGCCAAGCTTTGGAGTTCTGCACATCCTGAAGCGGTGTACATAGAGTCGTAGCTCTCATTACTCTGCATCTAAAAGGTTTTTTTTTCTCACATTTTCAAAACCAAAAACACGAGAGCAAAAGTTTTAGGGATGGATTAAACAGTGCGTTATCCGCTCTAACATAAGCTGCTTGTTTCTGCGAAATGAATCTTATTTTATGTTTTAAGAAAAATTATCTTTTCAAGCATGTTTTGCATTAGAGTTATTATTATAAGTAATCTGGTTTTAAGAAAATCTAACTTTTAACAATGGTTTGCAGAATATGCCAGCAGAGGAAGATTATTTTCCTTATATTAGGGACCACTAGCACAACTTTTTTTTTTCCCATCTTGGCAGGCTGAATGAAGCCTCACTGCTGAAACCAGCCACTGATGATGGCACCCACCTGTCACTCAAAGAAGGCATGTCCTTAATTACGCAGAACTTTAAACATGAATATAATTTAAATATTGAATTATATGAACAGGGAAATTAGCTATAGAGACCAAAAGGCTTTTCTGTACCAGGCAGTAAACATGTTTACTGCTGCTGTAAAGTTGGGCATTTTAATATGGGGCCATACGTAGGTTGACTCACTTTTCCAGCCAGCATCAAGTGGCTGTTTAAGGAACTGCCATTTTTGGCACCTGTTGGCTTTATTTCAGCCACAGAGGTTGCCGCTTGGGTACGGCTGATAATATCTGCCAGCAACAGTTGTCATTTCAACCGGCCAAATCCACATTTGTTGGCTACAACGAGAAACCTGCTTCAGTTTACTTCTGTCTGAAATCAAACACTCATTGTTTCAATAATTACTAAGAATTTTGAGCCGTAAATCTGCCACCATTGTCATTCTATGTGCCGTGCTAGAAACAACAGTAAGTGCGGGGGACGGGGCTTAGCGGATGTTCGGTGGGCTGCAATCACAGACGAGCACTTTGAAGCTTTTAAAAGTGACTGCTCGGTTTGTGTCTGTGTTTACCCACTTGTCTCAGTGATGCGTTTGTCTATGCTAAGGGGCTCCCTCAGTCCGTCTCCCCCAAACGGAGTAGGTGTGGTCTCCTTCACCCCATTCTCCTTAGCAACACCTCCTGGTGCTGTTGCCTTAGCAACGCCTGCTGGTCCTGTTGTCGGAGCGCCACTCGGGGGTGAAGATGTCTTCTCCTCTGTTTTCTCCTCCTGTAGCCAAATATAGACACACAGACGACACACACACACACACACACAGAAGGTTTAGTATAGTGTACTCATACTACCACACCATCTAGTGGTGTGAGCCAGTAAAACACAATGAGTCAGCAGAATGAGAGAAGTTAACTGTCTGTTAATGGATAATATTAATGACCTTGTGACCATTGGTTTGTCCGTTGCCTGGCCCCACGTTGTCCATGGATCCAACCTTAGACTTAGCTTTAATGTTGAGCTTATGGGACTCAATCTTCACATCACCTCCACCTGAGGAAAAAAACATGAAGGTTAGCATGAGACCAGCATGGAATAAGGTAGAGTTTAAAGGGAAGACATAGAATAGAAGCCTGACCTGGCTTATGTTTGATGTTATCCTTGGAGCCACATTTGGATGTCACCTTGCTCACATCAACCTTTCTATTCAGGATCTGCACCTGGAGGAAGAGCAGAGGTCATAATGTAGCCTCTTTGTACCAACTCATTAAGACGCCACATCCAGTACAATGCATCTTTACTTCAGCACCCACTCTATCCACGTCAGAAAATCACTGTCAGCCATTAACAGTCACCTGGGCATTTATAGAGAGGAGGACATTTGGTACAGTATGTGGGAGACTAAATGCATCACAACAAATACTCGACTTCCTACCTAAGTTAAGTTCTTATTGTTACTGAAGGTGCCTTCTTGTTTTTGTTAGGCTGGTAAATGATGCTCCATTTATGCAGATAAATCGGGACAGGCTATAATTGGAGGATGGGAGAGGGCTGTTATTACATCGCTGTCACATTGTGAGAGCGTGTGTTCAGGATCACAAGGAATAATCCTGAAGAGCGCTGATGGATTTTAAGGTCCGCTGACCTGCCTGACAGCATGTGATAAGATCAATCATACTTACATATTTGATGGCAGACAGGAGGACTAACAGTCGGTCCACTGTGACCCTCAGTGCTGTTAACTTTCATTAGCAAACAAGCCATTATGAGTTTGCCTAATTGATATTGGAGCTTTCCCTCATTATAGGCTGCTTGACAGCTTAAAATATTACTGACCCACTAATGTCCACAGTCATTCAGAAGAAAGATAGTTGATGAGTCACATTCACAGGTCAACCTGGGATCACAAAGGCCACCTGTTGTGTGGCTCACTCTGGGCAACTTTGTTTGATTTCCATAACCCAAAGCATCTGTATTTGACGACCTGTTAACGAGACTCAACCATCAACTAGCTTTCTCCAGAATGACTGACCCCGCCTTTAAGGTACTAGCTGAGTAGCTGAGCTAAGCACATATGCATTGACGTTTTTCCTGAATCGGTCGCAGTATGAGGCTACAGTGCAAGGTTTTCTTAACATACTTTGTTCAGTCATTAGTCACGAGGGATTGCTTCTTGTCTTGAAAACATGTTTGGAACAGAAGTCAGTGATTTCAGATCTGCATCATTTTCCTAACCCAACCCTAACCCTAATCCACATATTGGTGTTATATTGTTATAATGTATATTCAAAAAGAAAAATTAGAATATCTTGCTTTTTCTTAGTCCAGTGTTGCCAGTATAGAGATAGTCTATTTGCCAGCCAACAGAGCTTCATTGTGAACCTGGAAATGTAACCCAAAGTTGTATGTTAGAAACGTTGAGTGTGGGTCCCCAGCATACTGAATAATTTCAACTCTCAGTGGGCAATCAGTACTGAGGTTAATGCTTAATACATTGAACCTGCATTTTTAATGAAGAGACCTCAATTCCATGTGAATATTCAGTTGCAATATTTCTTTCTCCAAATCGGCAAAGCAGTTGCTAAAATATTGTCCATATAAGTGTTTATACTAATTATGCTAATTATCCTAATTGCCAAACATGTTGCTAACAAGTTAGCATCTGGCAGTTTCTACATGCTGGGGACCCATACTCTGCATTTCTAACATAAAACTTGAAAAAGTACAAGGAGTTATATCAAATGCTCGGTATTTGATCCAGTGTAAATCTGATATTTTCTGATATTTTAATGAATGTTGAATTTAATGTGATTTTTCGTTTTTAAAAGAAAATCAACATTGTCTACCAATTAAGGCATGATTAATACGTGCAATCGAAAAATGTGTTTTTGTCATGTGAAGCCACATCTTGACAGTTTCTACAGTAGATTGGAAATGGTCGGGCTTTTCCTTATCACATTAAATATAGACGATAGCCATTAATGAGATTATATAAACACAAATTCTTGAATTCTAGATAAGGTAAATATTCATGATGTCATTTTAGACTGAGGACACACGACTTCATTAAATACAGAAAAGGTGAATATTGGCTCAGCAATATAATATGTTATTCCTACAATAGTACATTCCCTCATACTGTGGTTTTAACACCTTATAGGACTGTATTGGTTTGTGTGTACTTTATGTGGAGCATGCTTTGGAACATACTTTTACATGTGTTGTTTTACATTTACATGTAAAACAGCAATACATAAAAAAGTACAGAGCACTTAATGTAAATAAGGCAGACAAAAAATGGACAGGACAAAGTAAAAACTGAAATAATATCTAAATAACAAGAAAAGTTGAGAGGTATTAGTGGGACCAACCATCAGGTATGACATTTTTTATGTTGTAGCATGATAAAGCATAATTAATTACATCATAAAATATTTCCATATCGTAATTTTTGTGATAAGGAAATCATTGATTTCTACAATCCACTGATTTCCCTTTTGTGTTACTAATTGTTTGGCAATAATATTTCTGTAAGCTTAAAGGTGTTGTCATGACAATGGTTTGAATTGGTAAAGGGACCCAGAAACCATATTTCAGGGTCCACAAAGAAACGAATGCCATTGATTTGTTATATGACATGGTTTCTTGAGAATTAAAACAGATCAGTTGCTGACGACATTGCTATGGGTGTGATCGGTCTAGCCTGTAGCTTTACTTGATGCCACAAGTTGGACATTAAGCCATTTACACTGTTCCTTTTGTGTTTCGTTGAATTGATCTAAGACAGCAAAGTGGTGATTGTGAGAGCAGCCCAGAGACTGGATATGATAGTGCAGCAGGTGTTTGGAGCAGATGGAAACAACATCTGGAAGGGTGGGCAGAAGGGCCTGTGGTCAGTTCACTTTAAGTGAAATCTGAAATGCAAACAGTGGGAGCCATGCATGTGCTAAACACAGTGCATTCATTTTCAGGTACTCTGAAAATGATAGCACGTAAATGATTGATATTTGGGGGAAAAGGGCATTTGTATTGTTGCAGTTGAACTTCAATTGCTTCTAGCCTGGTTCGATTACAGAAAACACTCAAATTAGATTTTCTGAAGCTGTCTGCAGTATTCAGCATTTTAATCAGGGATAATACAAGATTTTTGGATACAGTATATTGATTCTGAGTCACACTGATTGAATTTCTTACCAGCAGGCATCAGATCTTCTCATGATTGCTTAAACACAGCCAAAGTGTGTAAAATGGTAGTTGGATTTAGCCCATTGTAACTGTCAAGTAAGGGGCATACTGTGTCACTAAGGCTTAATAATTATGACTGCTTCTGTGTAAACTGCCCAATCAGGTGTAATATATATTATGCATCCAAATTACTCTTTTACCCCTTGTGACTAATCAAGTTTCAAGGCTGGGACTGAGACTCCCAATTGATCACAACACAGCCCGAAGCTAAATAAGTGTAATAATGATATGCATCCACCCTAACCAGAGTCTGCCTCCAGCTCCGGCAGTACTTACATTGCCACCTCCAGGGACATGTTTGATATTGTCCTTGGAGCCACAGCGAGACGTGACATGGCTGAAGTCCAGCTTTTTGTGCACTATCTGAACCTAAAGACAGGCAGGCAGACACACAGACAAGCAGGGGAGTGAGGAGATAGAGAGGGAAAGGAAAGAGGACAGAAAGAAAAAAAAGAAAGGTATGACAGGCAGACAGACAAAAAGCAGCAGAGAAGAGCAGATCAGCTGGCGGCTTCAGTTAACAGGAAACAGAGTAGCTTTGCTCTGTATGTATGGAAGAGATTCTGTCATTCAAATCAAATGATTCCTCCTATACATCAGCTCAGTGATTGCATTATGTGATTACTTGGTCAGAACATGGCACTGTAAAAATGGTTTTGGGGACATTATGCAGGAAAATCATTGTGATTCAGAATGAGCAGCTAATCTGACAGATTATTAAATGAAAGGTTAGTGAATTCTTACAAAAAAGTTAATGCTGAAAAAATGAGGATACTGACTGAATAACAACAGAGCGCTTCCATAAACGGCATTAACCAAAACTGATCAAGCACAGGACAAACACTGGAGGAGGAGACAGAGCACATGCAACAGAATACTACACAGTCAGTGATTTTGTGTTAACACATGCCGTTCTAAGCAAAGAAGCGACTAATACAGGAGAATGGAAGACAAAAGATGTTCCTTTTAGGTTCTTTTAGACTGTTCTGCCCTACAGCCAGTTCCACAGTTCTAGGAAAAGAGGGTACATGTTGCATGGTTTGGTAGGACAGGATGCCAAGATTTTTTTAAAGATCCCCTCCAGACATGTATCAGGACATATATATGAATAATTTGCTTGTAACAATAATGTGTCTTTCTAAAAATAAATCCATTCCATATTAAAATCCTCAAAAAGTCAACTCCTCCTTCTACCTCATTTAAACTTCCAGAATGTTTAGTCTAAAGTTTCCCTGCTGGACACA